TAACATTCAGGTAAGACTCTATGTAACCAGTTTTGGGCTACTTGTGACTGTTGTTTCAGTACTATGCAACTAATTGCCACAATGTTCAGTTTTCAATGGTACATTTTGTCCTCTTGTCTTCTCTCCATGATCATGCTACAGATCAATGATTTTTATCATTATTCTGGGCCATTGATTGCCACGCACATTCTTAAACTTTCTGTGGAATACTCAGTAATTCTTTGCTGCTGTTTAATGCTCATGTACCTATAATCTGTAACTTACAAGTAAAATTATAAAATCATTGTTTCCAAGAGCCTGTTATAACTTAAGACCTTTCAAGTATAAGCTATAAACTATACATAGCTGATAATTTTTGTCAATGTAAGGCATCATAAATTTTGAGCAAGATTAATCTTTTAAGAATCAGCTAAGTAGGGTATAATAGGATAAAGTAACCTATAATAGAAAGTATGATTCCACCCACCCCTGATTTACCTGGTGGGTCTCATTATGCTTAGCAGCAATAGGCAGCAATAAGCAGAAACTTGTGTGTTAATTGTGGGATGCTAATGGGATGTCGAACCACTACTGCTACACTTGAAGGAGGTTTATCATAGTCCAACTCTCTTGGGAAGAATGAGTTGGGGCTGGGAAATACAGAAGCTTTGGACCATAAAAGCCAAGAATATTCTAGAAGACCATTTTTGTTGCCTGCCATGATGGCTTCCAACCTACTAATTTGTATTTTAATTGTTGTGAATGTACACTACCTTTGGGGTGGGGAGTGGAGTTGAAGCTGAGTCCATTGCCATATACATTTGGGTCATTGGGTTGGATCCATGCATCGTTTTTGTAAACAAGAGATGACTTTCTCATGTGCTGAGCATAGGCTGGGCTCATAACTGCATTCATCTATAATGTGATGTGTTTAGTTTAAGCTTAGAGAGTTATATGAATCCAGCCAAAAATAATTTATTGAATTGATTATGTGCCATCAAGCAACCACATAAATTTTATCCAGAAGGAAGTTTATTGAATACATCATTATTAATGACACATATGGTAATATGATAAATAATTTGTTATTATGTTCTACTAGTACTTCCTACTGAGTGAATAGATTTAGGAAAAATATGGGCACAAACTAGAGGCAGCATCAAAAGTGAAATCATTCTGCCCCATTATAATTCTTGCCTTTTCTTCATACGTAACTAAATGAGAAAAAGAAAGAAATCAGAAGACTATAGTCAAATTAGATTTCAATATGAAATATACAATGGGAGTCTACACTCCTTTGTTTCTTCTTTATAAAGCAAAGGCAATTTCATTTCACACTTGAGGGAAGCCCCCTGGAGGGCCAGTTGGTCTATAAGGAGAATGATTTGGGATAAGTAATCCAGAGGCTTCTGGCTTCATGAAATCTACTTCCAGAGCATAAAAGCCTAGAAGGCCCATTTGTTGCTGTCAAACATGAAGGGTTCCCATATTAATCATTGTTATAGTATGCAGCTTCTGTAAACTAATCTTAATGTCATGATTAGAGTAGAGGCACTGACATGGCCATATGGCACATGGGGTTGGATTCATGCAGTTGAAATGTGAGCAAGAAATTATCATCATATGCCCTTAGTGCTGGGTTCACACATTCCACTAATCCATAATGGGGCTTGTTTGATATAGGTGTAGAGATTACATGAGCCCAGCCATTTATTCAGTGCACCATGATTTAGTGAGACATAAGGTAGGGTGATGCAAGAACCTCCCTATTTGCCCCTGCTTCCTACTGAATGGACAGATCCAGACACCAGCGACAGGCATTTTCAGAAATAAGGTCATCGTATCCCATTGTACTTTTCACTTTTCCTTGTACATAACTTAATAGGAAAAGGAAGAGATGAGAAAAGTTAGATTTCAAGATGAAATATCCAGTGGAGTCTCCACCCCTTCAGTTGCTCTTTATAAAGCATAGCTCTTTCCTTGCCCGCTGTTTTTCCCAAAAAGCTTTTTCATGCTGCTGTCAGTCTGGACACATCCATGATGAATCTGGTGCCCAGCTTCCATAGTTTGGACTTCTCCTCCCTTAGCCTCTTCTTCGGTCTGCTCCTCCACTGTGCAGTAGGAAGGGACCTTAAATTTGTCATGGTAGTAAGTACAAGGTTTCTTTTCATTGCTGACAGTATCCTTTACAATTTAGCTGCACTTCTCTTTCTAGGAATAACCTAACCTTTAGATTTTGATTGCCCTGTAAAGACGTGTTTGACTGTTCCTGTTTTATGTTTGTCAATACCAGGAAGCAACAGCCAAATAATGTAGAAATGATATTTAGAAAGAGGTGGCAGAAATTGAGGAAGAAATTTCCAAAAAGAAAAGAAAACCTGCTTTTTAATAATCTGACGTCTGAATACCTTACCCCAGTCCACCAATCACTTGTCTAAAGAACATAACTGAATTCTAGAATTTTGATTTGATTGACTTCAAAGAAAAAAAAATCATAAAACTGACAATAGTAATAGTATTCAAAACCATAGTAATAACAATAAAAGTTCAACAACTATATATAAATAAGTGTTGAAAACCAAAGCCAGGCATTGCTCTAGTTCTTCATGCTGTCTTTAAAACCTTGTTTCATTTGTTTCTTTGTTTAATATTAATATTTGTAAGCCACTTACTTGAATGTTTCTAGGCTCTTGTGGTGAAGGAATGCAAGCATCATTAACATATAAAAGAGACTACAAGTGAAATCTCAGCCTTGGAAAAATACAAAGTGTAACACCGCCTTGATTCTGCATGTTATAAGAGGAGACAGAAGGAAAGCCTTTCAGCACTCTGTTATTATATTTTACAACAATGAAGTAGAATTATAATAGTCCTTGCAGTGTTTATTTCCTGATCTGGTCTACCTTGAAGGGTTGACAGTACCTTACATTGAAATGTCCATGAAATCCAAATATTAAAAGCATTAATTCTTAAAACCTTAGTTGTTCTGTGAAATGACAGGAATTGGGAGAGGGCAGCATATTCCACAAGGAAAGGGCAACCATAGGGAAACCAATTTTAATGCTCCTCCTGCTTTAAGGGGGAACCCGGAGCATCCTCTCACATCAGACCCACATAGTTGGGAAGAACAAAGGAGCAAAAAAGACTTTAGTAAGGTATCTTTAATGCTAGACTGTAACTGTAAGAAGAATTTCAACCCTCCTTTATAATGAGCTCATTAAAATGTGGGTGCTTTGAATGATCTCACAATCCCTCACAATTGCAATGATACAATTGGCAGTATTAAAAGCATACCAGATATTTAAAGTAAGTGGGAAAGGTAAGGTCTTTATTTTCAAAAGTACATAAAAGTTAGTGCCAGATGAGACTCCTTAGGTTTTTCTCCAGCTGGCAGCAGCCACCTTCACAGAACAGTGACACCTGAGTAGTTCTTTCACATGTAAGCTAACTCAGTCCATATACAAACTGAAACAGTTCCTCAGCTTCTTTATGTTGTGGACCTTAAAGATTAGCCAGATTGGAGATTATGATGATTTGGTATACTACAAAAAGTAGGTAAGAGAAATTTGATATGTATTACATTTCAAACGGATATTCCTTTTCTTTATTCCTTCCATTTCCCCATACTAAATGGTTATTGTGGCCAACCAGAGTTTGTAAGTACATTATGCATCAGTATTACCCAGAATCTCTTCCAACTCAACTATGTGATTGTCAGGCTCAATTTTCACCAAATTCTTGGCCTTAAAACATGTCAAGCTACATCTCCAACAATCTCCATCCAAAACAGTCTTTCGCTAGGAATGTCGGAAGATATTATCCAACACATCTAAAGGTCAATGGTAAGGAAAGACTGATTAAGAAGATTGTCTTTTTTGAAAGGGCCTGATTGCTTCCATCATTTGAATATATTACAATAAGGTCAATCAGAGCCTTTTTAGAATTGAGCAGCATTTCCACGGCAGACAGGCAGACACATGAACCACAGTCCTGTTGAAGTCTTGATTGATTCATTATGTGCCATTAAGTCTTGGCGACTTTTAGCGACCACATATATAATTTTTTCCATGATGATATGTCCCTAACCTATCACTACTGTAATTGAGCCCAACCTCATCCTCTTCTTCTCTTTCTCAGAATTACAGGCTTCTCCAGAGAGTTAGGTCTTCACATAATGTCTCCAAAATATGGTAATTTTAGCCTGGTCATTTGTGCCTCAAGTGAGAACTTGGATTGAGTTATTCAATGATCTATCGGTTTGTTTTCTTGGCTGTCCACTATATCCTCAGGAGTCTTCTCTAATATGGAAGTTCAAAAGCATCAATACTGTTCCTATCCTGCTTCTTCAAACTCCAACATTTACTTGTATAGAGAGTCGTAGGAAATACCGTTGCTTCCACTATTCTGATCTTTGAAGCTACAGACACAACACAGCATTTGAAAATCTTTTCCAATGCCTCCATGGCTACTAGCAAATATCTTTGCTAGTCTCCAAAGTTAAATGTTGTTTAAAAAAAAAATTCAAAACATGGCCAATATGCTATGCTATCACCAAATTTTGTGCGCTTTCAGTGCCCTTCCCTGAAATCTCAGTAATATTGTGAGGTTTCTGTCATATAAAAAAATGACTTTGTGGACCAAAAACTGTTGGAGACCTTTGACTGTCATACACATATCCAGTAATTTGTTGGATTGTGCCACAGCCACTTTATGCTAATGTATGTATATTTCACTGGCACAATGCTGTTTCTGGATCGAGCTGATGGATGTAACTATCCAAATCTAATCAAACAATAATCAAAGAGATTCTGAAATATTTGATCATACCTAGCTGGAGGAAACCATTTTCTTATTCATTTCCAGTATTTCACCCACATTACTTTAGAGAGCGGCTGGAAAGGACTACACCTTCCTGATTCAGAAATGCTGTTGTGATTCCTGGTATTTAATTTTGACAAATTGCTTTGTGCTAAACTCTAGTTCCTCTGAAAGCTAATATTGTCTCCAAACAATTTTACCAGATTTTCCGGCATGGTGACAGATCTCCTGTTTCAACTTTCCCCACAAATACAGTCAATGAAGATGTTTGGCCACAGGGATATGGACAACTCACGAAGGTTTGAGAGATACTCTTAAAACATGTTCATTAACTGAAATGTAGTATGAAAGTATTATAATTCCATTTTCCATGGCTTCCTTTGTCCAAGGCTATGGTCCAATATTCAATATTCAAATATGATTTACAGGAATATCTCATCCAGACTTCACAGCACAACTTTTTTAGGATTCAATAAATCTTTTCATTCAGTGGCAGGCAAACATTAACATCCTATTTCAAGATATTTAACTACATTTCATTTTTTTGCTACCACAGATTGGAATACAGCAGCAATACGAGCTTGGGAAGTACTTAAAAGCTAGATATAAGAACTTCTTAAGCCCTTCATACAAGCAAAAAGAGGTAAGATGGGAAATAACAAACTTCTTTATTTCTATTTATATTCAGTAATAACATTGTAATCAACATGAAGTGAGGGCCAACTAGCTCATTTTAGGAGACCTACCACCCTCTGTGGACCTACCACAATTACAAAGCCGAAATAGGGAATATTTGATAGATGGAGAGTTCTAAATTTGTTTCGAATTGTGGTTCCCATGACATGCAGACACCTTCCCTGTGACAGGTTTTTTTTCTCATTGTTTGTCACTGCTTTCCTATCCAATGGTAATTATTGCCAGGGCCGGAAAGAGCAAAGAAGGCCAATGGAACCCTCTACAACAATTCTTTTTCTTATTCTTTTTCTGTATCTTTCTCCTCATCCCTCCATTTCATTTCAGGAAACATTAGAAAGCTTTCT